CCTTCTATATAAAATACATTATTAACTGAATTGGCTAGAAAGACAATATCTTGTGGCAGCTAGTCTTAGGCGTGGAAGATGTCAGTTCTGGGACCACTGGGTAGGTGAGTAAAGTTAAATCACTCAATTCTCTTTGCTTCACTTCCCCATTTGGAAAAGGAATAATTGTGTTCAATGTCTCTACCTGCTCTGAAGACATGGAAGAAGAAACAGAAACATGAATCTGCACATAGCAGAAAATTTTCAAGTAAGGTACTCTCAGGTAATAATGTTAGAATGACTCTGGCCAAGTTATTTCTCAAAGAGAGCAGCTGAATTTAGAGGCAGAAACATGTGTATCAGAATATACTGGGAAGAGTTTTCAAACTACTCCTTGCCTTGCTTCCTCCCCGCATTCTAGTTGAGAACCATTATGACTGAAGAAATTTCTGGTGGCTGGTGCCGTAAGTTATAAAACATAAGCATTTGGGTTCTAAACAGTGGGAGATGCACACAGTGGTGATGAAGTGCATGAGCTACAGTTGCAGGGATGCCTGGGTTTGAGCACTGGTCTTACTCCTTATTGACTATATGATCTTGAACTGTTTCTTTAACCTTTGGAAAATCTTTATTTCCTCATCTGTGAAGCGCCTGCCACATAGTTAGTGCTCAATAGTTATGGCATTGGTTCCTTGTTAACTCTGACTTTAATTGTCTACTTTGAACTACAGATTTAAGGAAATATCTCTTCTTGTATGGGTTTTTCAATTAATTCTCCCATATAAGTTTAATAGATGTAGGATCTGTAGAACCATATATGCATAAATGCATAATTTTAAAGCTGGACATGGCTTTCTAACCATGAAGATTACCCTCAATAACCCCTCATTTTATGAATGCAGAAACTGAGGCTCAGAAAGGCATGCAACTTGTCCACGGTGACAGAGCTGATGGGCATGAGGGTCAGGACTAGAGCTATATCTTCCATTTTCTAGTCTAGCTCTTGTCACTTCTTGCCTGTCTAACACCACACGTTTACTAAGATAAAATATACTTGCGTTAAAAAGTTAATGATGAGAATATTATTTTCTATTTCAGGGGTCAGTGAAATCATTACATAGGACAAGAAAAATCCTGTGAGGTAATCTTCGTCCAGCTAATAAAATTAACTACACAAAAACGTGTAGAAAACCACCCCCTATCATTAGCATCCAAAGACCCAAGAAAAGAGGCAGCAATAGACTAGGATCCAGGACTCACAGACAGACCCATATCAGGAAAAGGAGGTAAATAAGGTGTAGAGTTTTTATATGCCTTATCTGGCCCCAAATTAACTTCCCCAGGCTAGTCCTGTGTTTCAAGCTTCTATGCCTCCCTTAAGGAGTCACAAGATTTCCAAAAGCTCCATGTTTCTTTCACATGGCTGTTTCCTGCTCGAATTCTCTATTCCTACCCACCTGACTACTATGGACATTAGAATAGCTGCAATAAATTTACGTACAATTTTGCCATCATGGGCAAACATCGAGGTGACCAGACCCACAGTAAATTCAAGAAGTGGAATGTGGTTAATGACTAACACCAATAAATCATAAATGCAAGTCAACAGATAACAGCTAGATCTGCACCTCTAAAAACAAGACCAAAGAATCTTCTGGGCCCCCTCAACAAAGCTGGGTGCCAACACTGACTTAAGAGCTATCCTTGGGTCTGACTCACCCAACCCAGTGGAGTGGAGGGGAAGGTCACAGAACTAACTGGAAGCACATCCAGTCCAGTTCTGGACACCTGCCTGTCTGCCCACGAATGACCACTGTGGAATCTAAGGCAAGCAGACAGCTCCCAAAACAGCCTGGAGTCTGCCTCCGTGCATGGCCCAGCAACCACAGCAGTCTCCACTCCATCCCTGGCCACCATCAGAAAGGCATCTGTTACCTCCTGCTTGGCCTTCAGTTCTGTGGTTGCTAGTATAACCCAATGGCCATAAATGTGAAACTCTCCTAAATGTTGACCTACTTCTCCTCTGACTGCAACACTTCCTCTTTGGGGAAAAAAGCCTTATTCCTGAATACTCTCTGCTAAATAAGTGCCACCTTGCCTCTTTCCTCTGCATCATTATAATTAATAAGCAACAATATCATCCCTCGTGGTTATGTTCTTATTAGGTGTTAACTGGCCTTAGCATCATTATCTCATTAAACCTTTCCACCTAAATTACGTTATCAGCTTCTCTCCGAAGGGGATCTGATACTGTCTGGCTGACTGGAATCTCCTACATAAACACAAGAAAGCAGAAAGGATAATCACTGACATTTAATCCTGCTCCAAATATTAATATTTTTTAAAAATTAATCTTATTTCTACTACTAACAATAACCTGACATTATTCTAAGTCCTCTTATCCAAAGTGTTTAAAGCAATACCCAGAGGTTTTTAGCTTCCTCTCATTTTTATGGGGAAAAAATGTAAAAGGATGCATTCTAAATTAGCTGGGCATGGTAGCACATGCCTGTCATCCCAGCTACTTCGGAGGCTGAGGCAGGAGAATCGCTTGAACCCGGGGGCAGAGGTTGTAGTGGCCCAAAATTTCACCATTGCACTACAGCCTTGGCAACAAGAGCACTCCGTCTCAAAAAATAAAGAAAGAAAATAAAAATAAAGAAAAAATGCATTCTAAGATATTTATAACTGTTAAAATTTTCTCCCTTATTACTCACATTTCAATTTTGAAAAATGATTTCCAGTTCTATCATTAAGATGATGAATTTCAAAATTTTATAGAAAAGGCTGTGAAACAGGTTTGCTGGTTTACTTCCATTGTTCTAGGTGCAATCTTTTCTTCAAGTTTCCTGATAATGCTTAGCTTTTGTTTTCTTTAATAGCATTCATTGTATACATCAAACTTTTGTAAAAGTAGATGAAAACTATTCTGCTCATAAATGAAGAACATAGATTAATAAGTTTCTCTAGAAATGCTTTCATTCCTGAGGACTAACAGGACTAATGACACCTACTGCTACCTCTACTGTCCTCACAATTTCATGTTAACCATGAACTCTTTCAATCTTTTCCGTCTTTATTACTAGGTTGTGCACATTCTCCAAAGTTTGGAAAGATATGCCATTGGGAGTTCAAACGTGCCCTTTTACAGCCATTAATCATGTTTTGTTTCCCATCCGAGGCATCTGTTCCCTTCCTTGCCTTCCCAAATCCCGTAACCATCTCCCATCATTCATCCCCACTCTTCCAAGTAATTCGCTATTTTTAAATATCTCATTATCTCATATTCCTCATTACTCACTTATCCTTCAAACTCTACTGTTCATTTAATTTTCTCACAAATTGTACAGTTTTAGTTGGCTTGTGGCATCCTTTTCCCCATTTTTGCACACCTGCCTCACCTTCCCACTTTCCAACTTCCTCTTTGTTTCCAAAGGTGCAGATCATTATTTGAAATCATAGAGATGAATCTTAATCTCCTTCCATTTACTTAATTTTAAATATCCAATGATCATTCCCAGTAGGAAATCTAGGTCTGTAGTTCTCAAGCCTTGCCACAGAAGCAATCAGATACACTAGGTCTCTTTTTATTTAATCATGGATAATACAAGGAAATGCATTCTCAAATGAAATATTGCACAGTTGGTTGGTGTTCATCTGAGATGCACCAACCATTCTTTTTCTCTTTTGAGAGTGAAGCCTGGTATCATAGCTAGCCAAAAACACATTTCTGTCTTAGAAATCTATGTCACATAAGCCTTTTCTCTTAGGGATCTAAATAAATCGCTAAATACAAATCCTGCTGTCATCAAGCTTTCTGTTAGTGTCCAGCCTTTCTTATTAGAAGACCATAGTCTTCTAATAGTCTTTTTAGCTTTAAAAATTATTTTGTTTATATTTTGTTTGAACCTTTACGGGCTTTTAGGTTGTTTTCCCTTTCTCCTGATCATTTCTCCTCCTGAAATCTCAGGAGAATTAATTTTAGCAAACACTGGAGGCATGCAATCTTCCCTTTATTTTCTCTACTTCGGGATCCTTCCTCACTGAATCCTTTTCCAGTCCATGCCTTCCTATTTCAAGTGTAGGATAGGGATGAACTCCCATCTCTGCACAGTCCCACCTTTGTATTCTCCTTCACTTTCCCTCCATCACTTCATTTCACTCCATACACACACTACTTTTATTCCTGACAATGTTTGGCCACTTCTGTGGCTGCTGAAGTTCTGGCAGCCTGCCTCCCTGGCCACCAGTACAACTAACTACCTGGTTCCTCCAGTGTTCCTCGGGTGCTGCCAAGGCAAAGGCATTGTGATCATTGACTTTATCAGTGATAACACCAAGGCAATGGAAGTAAACATACAAAGAGAGAGCCTAATTACATGCTTAAAGGAAGAATTGAGGCAATTTCCCCAACTCAACTATCTCTCATCGAACTTCTCTGAAGAATAGTGTTCCTTTTCCAAGCTTATCGATTTTCCCATTCCATCATAGGCATATAAAAGCCTTATATGGGAATGAGGTTAGTAAATTACAACCACTGAAACCTAGCATGCATCTCCCTAAGATTATGACCTTACTCTCATTCTACACTGGCCAAAGGTATAGATGCTTGTGCAGTGGGAAATCCTGCTCATTGAATGACTATTAGTACATTTCTTTGAAAAGAATGGAATTTTTCCAGAGTTAATCTCTTTTTTTATAATCCAATTTATCTACTCTTTTTTCTAAAATGTGACCCCTTTCCCCCTCTGTATTCTATTACAATTCACCACAATTTCTCCTGAGGGTACAATAGAGTCTAATTTTCTTCATTATTCAATTTGGATCCTGTTAAGAGAGACAGACATTCACTGACAAGAAGAACATTTAAATTTTGGCAAATAAGTTCATTAGTATTCAGAAAGATTTGCACCCCTTATATTTAATAAACCTTTCCATTACAGAGAAAGAAATCCTGCAAAATAGTCAAACAAATTAGCAATGGGGCCACCAAGAGAGTATATTCAACCTTGATTCAAAGATGTCTCAGTTTATCAGTTTTCTGTCAATCATAAAACAAGGAAGATGAAACATGCAATTATATACAAGGAGACAGAACTCCAAATTCTTTCATCCTAGCTGAAGCAGAAGAGTTTTAATTGCTTGGAAAAATGAGATTTTTGTTTTCTCTCAAGAGGGAAGAGGAAACAAATGTAAATTGCCTTAGAGTCAATGGCTGGAGGTACAAGGATCCAGACCATGCAAATGAAAAGTAGAAAGACAAGTCCGTCATCTGCATGTTTGTCTTTACAATGGCCAATATCAAGATATTTAGAAATATGAGTTGATTGACAGAATGTTCCCCTTTTCATTAGAATGTTTAGGGTCATATAGATTTACTGAGTCACTTCTTCTTAATGGGCATGAGACTGCACCAAAATACTTGAATATGTTGTCAGTTATTTCAGGGTCCATTTTCCATTTGTGTGAGTTATCAATGCCCTTTGTTTCTCTTCTAAGTCCTACCAGCGATTCTATCTTATGAGCCTTACACTGTTTATAACATATTTACCAGAGGGAAAGTAAGGACAAGGAGAGAAGATAAAATACTAATCAATCCATTTAGTAATGATGTACATCTGCAAAAATGAAGACAAGAAAATTAAAGCTCTTGGTCATGGAGAGATATAGACATTAACTGGAGGTATCTGCCTGTTCCTTGACCTCAACTCAGAGGTAAAATCGAGAGTTAAGAGTAACTAATTCTACCATTGAAGCCAGAAATTGAAATCCCTAATACTATTTCCCAGGACAAAATTCTCAAACCAAATAGTATGTATCAACAATGCTGAATTTGAAATTCCATAGATTTATCTTTCTGTAAAATATTTTCTGCACTCAGAGATATACATCAAATAGATCTGCTAATATCGGAAAAAACAAAGAAATGAATTTGCTTATATAGGATTCACAATAGGGTAAGAATAGCAACATCTTTTTGTCTGATTAGGCTTTTTCCTTTCCTTTTTAAAGTGGTCATCAGACATAGGGATATATGAAACACAGTATATATGAAAATGTCTATTTGCCGAGAGGTACCTTGTAAGTTTAAGAAGTAGTCCTCCCTACCAGGGAAGGGATGGGTTACAGAGTATAAAGTAGTCAGGGCCTTCACTGTTTGGAGGACTGTCCTTCTACAGATTTATCCTAAGAAATAAAAGAGTATTTCTTCCTTATATCTGAAGATAGATCTTTTCACAATGACTCTAGGATAGAATGATGATGATTTTTTTTTTTTTCTGGGATAGAGTCTCCCTGTGTCATCCAGGCTGGAGTTCAATGGTGCAATGGCATGATCTCAGCTCACTGCAGCCTCAACTTCACAGGCTCAAGCAATCCTCCCACCTCAGCCTCCTGAGTAGCTTGTACTATAGTCACAGGCCACCAACTACAGCTAATTTTTGTATTTTTTTTTTGCAGAGCTGGTGTTTTGCCATGTCGCCCAAGTGGGTCTTGAGCTCCTAAGCTCAAGAAATCTGCTGCCTCGGGCTCCCAAAGTGCTGCAATTACAGGTGTGCACCACCATGCCCAGCCCTGAAATTATCTGATGTGAATCTCAAGGTACTCTAAAGTTGCTTGAGTAGAATGGGGCATCTCTCTGTAGTTGGTTACCCTGGGACATGGGCACACTCCCCTGGGACATCACTGATTATTTCCAAAGAGAAAGCCAGCAGATGAAAAAAAGGAGGGTTTTGTCTCCTGAAGTCTGGGAAAGTGTCACGTTTATCTTGTATCTCCAAACCTAGCACATAACTGGTACGTGGCAATGGCATATGTTCAATAGAAATATGAGGAAGGGAAGGAGAGTGAGAAAGACGGGGGGCAGGAAAAATGGAAATAAAGCTTCCATATGTTCTAGTATATATTGCTACAACCTTCCTAACTTCAAAGGGGAGAAGCAGACTCACTGTATCCTAAAACATTGACAAAACACCCACTTCAGAAAAAAAGTAATAATCAAGTAACTATTGAAGATTTATTTGGCCTAACAGCATAGAAACAGGAAAATTACAAACTGGCCAGCTGTAGCCTAGGGCCTGATCTTAATGTTTTAGAGTAGGAAGGGTTTGGAGAGACTCGAGGAGCATCCAAGTGGAATGTGCAATGTCTTACCCACAGTCACACAGCTTGTTAGTGTTAGAACACAAACTAAAACCCAGATCTCAAAATTCTCAGCCCAGCATTTTTCACATTGCAGTTTCCTATATAGAACAAAAGCAATAGCTGGTTATTGAATCCTATCCCTTCCTGTTTCCTGACCCAAGTCACTTCCTATGTCCTTCCCCAGAGGTCCTGCTAATCTTAAGCCCTTTCCCTGGTACCACAGGACTTTACACAACTTGCTGGGGGGAAACAGCCCATGCTCATAGGCCATTTATAGAATGCAGGCTTATAGAACATGGTTAATAGGCATGATTAAGGAAACAGGAATTACCCTAATAATTGGAACATTGGCTCAAGAATATCTTTGTAGCCATTTGTTAGCTGTAGCCACTGTTCTTCATACCTAAGGGAAAACTACGGTGTAAACTCCATGAGGGCAGGAACCATATCTATATTTCCCCTAAATCTCTTCAGTGTCCAGTAGGCACTTAACTATTAGTTGCATTATTAAACATGACTACTGGTTCCATATTTCGTGATTCCAGGCATGTTCCATGATGGCTTTATCTACAAATAACCAGCAATGTCATCCTTTAGCCAAGTATTTTTGAAGGGCCCAGCTCTACCTTGTATCTCCAGTAATCTAATGAACTCAACACAGAGTCTGACCACCAGGTCTGTAGGTAAAGACTTGAACTGCTCTATGAGCAATGACCCTCACCCGCAACTGAACGAAGACTGCTTAAGGGCTCACATTATAGAAGTGGAAGACAGATAGCCTGCCAGTGTCTTTATTATCGAAGCCCTAGAGTGCAGAGAAGAGACATGTAGGCTAATGAACTGGTGTCTCCCTCAAACCACTACTTGTTCAATCTTTATTAGAGGAAAGACTGAGGGTCTGAATGAGTAAGAACTGAGCAAGAGGATCATAGGGGTGCTCAGCCTACCTTCTGGGGTCATAAACAATCTAGCTACAGTCCCTGTTTTATGTATCCTAGTTAAAAAAAAAAAAAAACAGAAACCCTGCAGTCAAACAGCATATTCCTATATATTCTGATTATGACCTGCTTTCCACCCCTAAGGAATTTAACAAACCATTCCTTCCAACCTCACATGGATTCTTCCCTTGAGAGAAGGGCTGATAAATCATACTACTGACATGTTAGTGCCTTTATAATTTAGTCCTCCAAGCAGTTGTCCCGTTGTTTTGTCTTTAATCTGACCCTTCTGACAGTCATTACTCAAAATGAAGAAGGCAATCTAGAGAGAAACTGCAGCTGATGCTCCTCTTCTCTCAGGGAGTGGATGGCCCATCCATAAAGTCTTCTTGATGATGGTGTCCAGGAGGCAGGGTCCAAGGACCTCAAGGAAGCAACACAAAAAGGTCATGCTCCTCCAAGGGAGTGGATTTTCCTTCTGTCTCAGCAACTGTAAAATTATAAACAAAAGATTAAAAAGCTAAACCACTGCTCAAGTAAGGATCTTGGTAAATGCATGGCTTACCCTAAGCCTGATGACGGATTCACTGGCATCTAAATGAAGTTTGTGGTTTTCCAGACAATGGGGCAGAGACTATAGGAACACACAAATTATGCCTAAGGATTCTTTATTAATTTTGTTGTACCAAAGAAAAAGGAAAAACTATAATTGCAACTAAATACAAGTAAATGCAAGTAAATTTGCATGCATAAGCCATGTAAAATACATGGGCTAGGAAGGGATATACTAGGGGAAAAGGAGAGAGAACCCAAAGAATCAAGAGCAAAGAAGTTGCTTCTTCCCCCACAATACTGCACAGGACTGACCTGAATGGAACAGTGATTGTGTGACCTAAGTGAGAGTTGAATAAATAATATCTGGGGACAAACTGAGATTTAAGCTCACATGAAAAGTCAGAAGTATAGTAACCAAAGCCTTAGCCAGTTCCTGGGCAAACAGTATGTTTGATTCCCAGAGTCTTTAACAAAATAAGAAAAGATGATGATAATCTCAGCCAAAGATGGTCTAAATGAAGCATTACTAGTTTAGGGAATTTCTACCAAAAACATCCAAAGTGATGGTGATAGCGCCATTACCAGAGCACTGGCAAATCAGTGGCTGTCTTTGCTGCCATCCCCACGTAGGTGGGCCCCTCTGTCCCTTTCCTCAGGAACCAGGAGCCCAGCATCCATGTTCCATTATCTGCCTACTCTAATTTATTTAATGCAAAAGCTAGCAGTTAAACAAAAAGTCTTTCAATGGCTAGAATTGAGTATTTCATAGTAGGGTATGAACAGTTGGTTAAATTGACTTTATCAGCACCATAAGACAGTACAAAAAATAAAAAAGAAAGAAAGAAAAGAAAAAAAATAACAGTTGGTGACTTTCATACTCCCATGAGCTATCTGCAGTTTATAAATGGAGCTTGTGTACATAAAACTCTTAATTACTGGAATATGAAAAAAAGAGAAGGAAGAGACAAGTGAGTAAGGAAAGGGTAAGGCATTCCCATGCTTCTTATTTAATGTCACCACCATCCCATACCAACCATCAAACCTCCAAACAGTGGGCTTAAGCAATATGGCCTCCAATGTTACTGAACAGATGCTAGCCCCAGTCTTAGAAGACAATTTTGTCCTCAGAGCTCACAGAAGAGGTGGGTCCTTGAGAACTGATGCCTGGATTTATAGAGACACTTCCTACAGGTATCAGTGATTATTTCTGCATTCCTGGTGTCTCCCCTAGTCCAAATCCTTCACTTTACAAAGAAGCAAAGTGAAAGGTGAGTGGCTTGCTCAGTGTCCTGTAGGGACTAACTAAAGGGTAGGGCCAGGACTAAGCCCAGTCCCCCAAGGGCCAGTCCACAGCCCAGTCCTCCAAGGGCCAGTCCACAGCCCAGTCCCCCAAGGGCCAGTCCACAGCCCTATCCAGGTAAATTCCCATGAACACAGAACATTGTGCTCCACACATAGGCAGAAGGTCATATTCTTCAAACTCTAGAGTAATATTGGTAGTATCTGGGTAGCAATTTTCCCTTCATGGACAACAATTCAATTCAGTGGGTCTGGGGTGAGGGACATGTATCTACATGTTAACAAGCATCGTGGGATCTTCCAAGTATAGGAACCACCCCTACACTTGATCACTCCTCTACCTACCAGCACCACGCAGAGGGCTGAGAGGTCCCTGTGAAGGGACTGCTCTGGGGACATCTTCTGGAACCCAAACATCAAAGGGCTCCTGACCATGGGTCACAAATCAGAGCCCTGAAAACAAACACCAGCCTTGAAATCTCAAACAAAGAATGTTTAGAATGGGCAAAAAGTTCTCCTCTTAGACCTGTTGACCTTAATGGCTTTGGGTCTGGCAGTATCCCAGTGATGCCTTCAAGCCTCCTGTGTAACCAGTCTCCCAATATATGCTGAGCCCCTACTTTGTGTACGACTGCGTGCAGGGGACTGAGATGGGCAAAGAAAAATAAGTCCTAACTGTAAAACTCTACCAAGATCAGACATGTTCACTTAAAAAGAACATCCACATTACAGAGCAGTGTTGTTGAGGATGAAATACAACACAGATCCATATCCATGTCATATAACCTTGCCCCATGTAACTCAACAATTTCCAAACCCACTTCCTGGCAGAACCATCTTTGGCAGTCCCTTAACCTCCACCCTGGGAATTCTGATTCAGTTAGCCTGAGAAAGGGTCCAGAATGTGTCTTTTTCACCAGCTGTGAGGTAAATCTAAGGCAGGAAGTCCACAGATGGACATTTGAGATTCTCACAGTGTGTTGAGGGTCAGGCTGTAAAGAATTCAAGGTAATCTAGCTTGGTTGCTTCTTTATACTAATGGTTTGCTCCTCAAAATTCTTAACATATTCACATTGACCCCTAGGATCTAAGTCTGTTCGGTTTTGTTCCTCTTAGGTTAGTCATGGCCTATGTTGTCTTCCTAACTGAAACTTCCTACTTAGGGCCTTTTTCATGTTCCCAGTAGAAATCTGTTTTCTGGAAAAGGGTGCAGCTTTACTCCTCAGAAAAACACACAGGCAAAAAAAAAAAAAAAAAAAAAAAAAAAATGTATAGCCATGTATCATTTATACCTTTTATATGGAATGTCTAGAATAGGCAAATCCATACAGAGAGAAAATAGATTAGTGGTTGTGGAGGACTGGGGGGAAAGTGGAAAGTGAAATGGGGAATGACTGCTAATGGGTGTGGAGTTTCCTTTTGGAGGTGATGACATTCTGGAATTAGTGGTAATGATTGCACAACTTTCTGACTATACTGAAAACCACTGGATTGTATACTTTAAGAAGTGAATTTTATGGTATATGAATTATATCTCAATTTTTGAAAAGCCCATGTAGGTAACACATAAAACACACAGGTGGGTCACCTGGCTCCCTGGGACCTCACAACTACTGGGTGATGTTCCCTGGGCAAGAGGCAGGGCATCTGATGACGATAATAACTACTATTCACTTGTACTTACTATGTGGCAGACAGGCATCCATTACACATAGTACATGGTTGGCTCAGTACATGGTAATCTCAGATGAGGCATCATTAACAAAAATGTGGATATTATTATGATTATGCTGTCATCACTAACATTTTAAATATGACAACATGATGCCATAGTGAGGTTAAATAACTTGACCAGTCCACAGCTAGTAAGTGGCAAAATTCACAACTAGGGAGATTTAGGTTTAATAGGCACCAAAAAAACCCCTTGCCCCAAAGCTTGCCCCAAACCATGTCCCCAACTATGTCCCTCCTGGATCTATCATTCTTATCATTAGATTTGTGGAAAGCAGAATAATAATAACGATGACAAAATGTAGCTGAGATGTATCAAGCACTTTCCATAAATCATCTTCAATTTATAGATATGAAAACTAAGGTGAAGAATGTTTAAGCAACTTGCCCCAAACCACACAGCTAGAAAGTGATGGACCCAGAATGTAAACACTGACCCTTAGCGCTAAGCCACTCAGTCAGAGATCCAACTCAGATGTCTGCAGGAGCAGGACAATGATAGTGCCAAGTGGGCCCCATATAGCATACCTTGAAAAACAAAACAGTATTGACTCATCTTTGATTCATCTATAGACATGTGGTACAATTTTCTTCTAATACTAGGGGATAAACAAAGCACAAGAGCAGTGATAAATGGCAAATGATGCTTTGCCTCAATGTTGAGGAGGCAAACAGGAGTGTAGAAACTATGGCAAATTGCAGACAGAGCCGCTTCACCCAAGGGGGCTTTCCCATTCCACTCCAACCCTCTACTGCTGGGTGGGTGGGTGGTACAGTGTTGCCATATTTTCTGAGATGAAGCCAGAAAAACAGACATTTACAGAAAATCTTTTTCGTTTTTAAAAGATAGTAAATAATTCTGCAGACCATATTGGTCTCTAGCAGAACACTCTTGACCTCAACACATAGTAAACTGTCTCCTCAAGCAGTTCTGTGTTACTGAGATTTAGGATTTGGGGTTAAAAGTGATAGGGTGAGTCAGGAACAGTGAGGAGAAGCCAGGGTCTGAAGACTCCTGTTGCACACCTAAGGAAGAAGAACTTTATTTTCTAGGCCAGGGAAAGCCAGAACTTTGCTGTTCTGTTTTGTTGAAGAAGGGAAGGAGTCCAGATCACCAAGATGTCTCTGAGGACGATGTAAAGGTAGAATAACCAGGAAAGATAACCAAGGCAGTGGGACCAACTGGGAGGTAACTATAATTGTCAGCCCCAAACCAAGGTAGTAGCAATGGAGGCAAGAGCATGTACTCAAGTCCATTAATAGCAAAGACTTTCCCTGATCGATGATAGATCTGATTGTATCAAAAGGGAATACACATATACTCTATTAGATAGCTATAGCGTACACTGATTTTAAAAAAATGACTATCATAAGAAAGAGGGAGACGTTAGCAAATGTGAGGAAGAGTGCTGTGAGAGAAATAGAGAAGGGTTACAGGATACAACTTGTTAGAGGCTGGGTTTGGCATATGAAAGGGAAAGAAAATGTTCTTGGCTGAGGAAGAGACAGCTTTAAAACTGCCTAGGAAAACAAAAATGAATGAGGGAAATTAAAAAAAAACACACATATAAAGAGTTCAGGTATTAAGGAATTAAGAAGAAATATGGAAAACCAGCAAGAAAAAAAAAAAATCAGGGAATGAAGAACAGTGAAAGTCCCTAATGTCCAGATTTAATGCAGATGAGAGAAACCAGTGAAGGCATTTTAAAAAGATGTTGTAATGAAGGCACCAAGAAGATTGCTTTAACAGAGAGCGAACTCAAGAATAGAGACCACAATGGAGGCATTTATAAGGAATAAAAGAAAAAGAAGACCAAACTATGGGAAAGGATTTTAGTGATTGGAGACTCACAGGAAAAGATGAATCTTAGAGATGTCAGAAAGGAAAATATGACAGGATTCTGGAATATTCTCAGAGTGAAAATAGGTCTAATCTGTAAAATATACAAAGTTCTCTCTCCACAAGTGCTTGAGAAGCAGCCCTAAGAAGTGCCAAAGATAACACCAAAGCTGCATTCCAAGGGCATGAGGAGGAGGAGAAAGCAGTTACCAGCAAGTCCCTGAAGGGAAGGGAGCAAGGATTTTAGCCCTCACCAGACTTGGTTTTCATTGGTTGTAATATCATGCAAACTGGAATAATGCATTCAACAAAATGGACTTTTCCAGAAGTAACCTTGTGATGACTCAGAGCATTCTGGGAGAGGGGCAGTAGACAAGAAGACAGAAGCAAAAAGGAAAAGCCTCTGCCATACACATGGTGCAGAGATAAAGAGGACCAACAATAACATTAGCAAAGTATCCTATTGAAAAGCATCAAGTTGTACATTAAAAGGAAAGAAATACAAGGAGGTAGGAGGAGGTCACATCATTGACAACAATGGGAAAAGGCTGTCATTTAGAAAAGTATGTCATGTAATGTCTGGCATCTTACATACAGTATTCCATTTAAGCCTCACATTAGATAGGCAAAGTTACTCCCTTTTGCAAAAAAAAAAAAAAAAAAAAAAAGTAGAGACCATGTAAAATTGGTTATTTACTAAAAGTCACTTAGATAGTAAGTGTTAGAGCCAAGACTTGTTGGATTCTCAAACTTACACAGTTTTCCCCTACACCACACTCTTGGATTATGGACCATCTTCCAATCGGATTACTGCAAAAGCCTTCCTGATATTTCACCCTTTACAATTATTCTTTCACTATCTAACCCAAGCAGTCTTTCTGAAATGCAAATTTTATCATGGTGCTGCCCTGCTCAAATCTAGTCAATAAATTCCTTTTGATCTTAAGATGGAGTCCAATCCACTTAGCATTCCCTACAGGGCCCTTCAGGATCCGTCCCTACTCACCTTCCCAGCCATATTGCAAGCTCCTCTCATTGCAGGTGACAATGCAATGCCTCTTAATATATTAAAGTCCCCAGAATGCACCCTGCTCATTCTCACCCCCAGGCCTTTGCATACTTTGTCTCCTGCGCCTGAAGCACTCTTCCTGACCTCCTAAACTCTCGCCTCAGGCAGTCAATGCAACAGTTTCTCTCATAAAATTGAAAACACTTTATTGAAATCCTCTCCGCCAATTCTGAGGTCTCCACACCCCCTGACTGGGAGCTACCATAGGAAAGATCCTGTTTCTATCTTGTTCACGTTAACACCTACTTAGTAGTGCCCTGACATATCATAGGTGTTAAGCACATATGTTTTGAAATGGATTAATAAATTGGATAGGATGGGGCTGTCACTGGTTACTAAGTTAGACTATGAGTAGACGCCAAGGCCATAACTAACACCAAAGCCTCTTCTTTTAAGATCTGCAATCTACTGTCTATAGCTGAAGATTCTTTTCTTAGGCATCTCAAAAATTCAACAACATTTAGGCTAGGCCTGCTATAGCTCACACCTGTAATTGCAGCACTTTGAGAGGCCAAGGCAAGCAGATATCTTGAAGCCAGGAGTTCCAGAACAGCCTGGCCAACATGGTGAAACACTGTCTCTTCTAAAAATACAAAAATTAGCTGGATGTGGTGGTGCATGCCTGTAATCCCAGCTACTCAGGAGGCTGAGGCATGAGAAACACTTTAACCTGGGAGGCAGAGGTTGCAGTGAGCGGAGATCATGCCACTGCACTCCAGCCTGGGTGACAGAGCGAGACTCTGTTTCAAAAAAAAAAAAAAAAAAAAAAATCAACATTTAATAGAACATATACTCTATGCACTTTCTGTGCTCAGAGCTATGAGTAATTCCAGGGACAAGACTCAGTTCTTGCTCTAAACAAGCTTGCAGTCTAGTGGAGTAGCCTTCATTTTCCAATGTGTTACAATTCACACTCTCTTTAAACCTTTTTAGAATTGAGTTTAAACTCTTTGACAGTCTGTTATGCACTGGGTAACTGCCAGTTGACCGATCACTAGCTCCAACAAGAATACAAGGGGCTTGAGATTTGAGAATAAATCTTGTTCACCATTGTCATCGTTATCATCCCAGTGCCCAGCACAGTGGCTGGTATATAAAAACAGGTTTAAAATAATCAACTGAACGAATGAAAGAATAGACAAGTGAAAAAGAAAACAAGCCAAGCCTTGGAATCTGGATCAGAGTCTCAGCAGGAATTATTCTCCATCATTAAACAGATAAATGACTCAGTAACAAATACTCTAGGGAAAATCAGCCCATTCGACATAAACACACACACAGACACACAGACACAGACACACACATGTTCACACTACAGAGTCAGCAGAATATGGGAGCAGGACAAAAGAGGGTCAGGGTAGGATTTTGGATAGTTTTCCAGTGCCAGCCCAGGTTCTCTCTGGTGACTTCAGGTTCAAAAGGGAGACACTGTGATGCAGGCACACATACAGCAATGACATGGGTTCACCTGAGCCCCAAACTTGTTTATTGAGACACTCCATAGAGATAAATCAATGGAAAAACAGGTAGATACATATAGTGCTCATCACATGTTTTCAAAACTTATTAAGAAAAACCTTAATTTGACATGATATTAAAATGTATGTTAATAATCACCAACACAAATACACAACTGAAATATCTGGGTAGTTTCTATCTTTCAAAATTAAAACCAAATATCAGAACAGAAATCGCTATCTAAATAGCATGCTTTTCATACATACACATATACTCCCGAAATTTACCTGCTGCCAATTCGTTAGTTATTTAAACATTTTTTCTGCTACACACTTTACCACCAAATAGTACCTTTTAGACAGTTACAAAAAAAAAAAAAAAAAAAAAAAAAAAAACCTTTATCAAGGTAAGAGTATGGTATTATTTTGACGCCAGACAGTTCTTTGCTTTTGTGTGGAATCACTGTGTTGCCTGAACAGTGTATGATTTCGCTTTTGTGCAGACAATCGGCAGGTCATTAGTGTACCATACAAATCGCCCTGGACTCAGGATGGAGCCCTGGGGAACTGAAGCTGTAATAGACTAGAGGGAAGATATGGTGTTGCTGACAGTTACCTCTGATGGCAGTTAAAAGGTATGATTGCAACCACATGACAGCTTGATACAACAGATCCCTGAGTTGTTCACATGGCAAATTCTGATTAATGGTGTCAATCATTATAAAATTTTAAAGTTTTTGTAGAGGACTCCATTACATCCTACTATGAGAATACAAGACTAACCAGATCCCTTATGAAACAACCACGTTTTATCATTATTTTACTGCCACTGGTTTTACATGTTAATGAACATGAATTTATTTGCACATGCAAGGTTGAGGAGGCAGAATTCTGCTGCATATTTATAAGGTTCATGAAGAAATTTGCGCATAAGAAAGTGAGTGTGAGATCAATCGAAAGTTAGTATATGAGCCAGAATTTTCCACTTTCACACTCACATGTATGCATGCATACACACAGATATATACACACAAGATAAGGTCAAATTCACTGTATTCATAATCTGGCATTGACTGTAGGCATAGTGAAAAGATTTCAGGTTCCCTCCTGGAAAGCCCTTAGGCTACAAGAAAAATCATCCTACATCTAATAAACCCATCTTAGATATATCTCCCATATGGTAAAGCCCTGTTTTGCTTTATTCCAACAAACTGATCCTTGGATTCCTCTCACAGCCGTTACTGCTATTGTTTATGATCTATTGAGCCTTTGCAGTGGAGTGAGGCACTGCGTTGAAAAGAGTCCATATTCCCACAACACTGGGCTATGTGAGCATTAAATAATCTCACCTGTGAAGAGTCCCAAGCACACAGTATATTTAGGGGCCTGACACGTAATAACTGCTCAACAAATGATGGTTAAAAAAATTTTTTTTTATTAAAATATTCTGAACACTTAGTCTCAAGAAAAAAGATCAGAGTAGGTCTCTAAACCAGATTGCCACCAAGGTAATAAGGATATTAAAACAAACAAACAAATAAATAACCCTTCCTCACGATTTCCCCCTCACTATTTTCTTTCACAGTTCAGTTTGGCTTGAGAAGCACTGGAGCCTCTATGTGCCCAGCACTGGGCTAGCACTGGAGGCATGGAGATGACTATGGCCACCTCCCAGCTATGGGTGGCTGCCCCTCTCCTGGGGACATGAAACACCTGAAATTCTTTCACAGCAGAGTCTTTCGTCATCACAACAGCATTTAGAAAATTTATTATACAAATTCATATAAATGATATAATCCCATAAAGGAAAATATTTGCTACTGTAATAGTTACTATTTAGGTTAATTGACTTTTTTCATATTTGGGACACTCCTCCTTAATGTATAGCTTTTATACATACAGGAATCATCTTTTTATTTGGCAATGACTTTTCTAGGATAAGTGAATGTTTCAAATGTGCTTAAAAAAACAGTAGACTAAATTAATGCTAATTAAAATAGAGCCTATGATAGCAAGCCTATGGATATAATTCTTATCTATAAAATACATCATAGGTATCACCAAAGAAATTAATCTAAAACTTAAAATTACCAATTCTAGCTAGATGTCAAGAAATATTACTAATATCAACAAATAATTCTAACCCTTTTCATCTTTCTGCATGGGTGATCTACAGGCATGTTGCCTGCAGATTGCCTGAGTACTTTGAATTGTTCAAAATCATTACTAATGTTTGGAGGTTCTCCACCCCAAGGACTTCCTTTTCCATTTCTATCAAATTTCAGTGGATCCTTTTCTGAAGTTTAGGTAAGTCAAGAGGCCTTGCCTGCTTCATATCAATTTGAGACAGTTTCCTCTTAACTTGGAATTTAGGAGCTAACCCTTCCTCCTCATCATCATCTCCATTTTCCTTACTTTACTAGCCTCATCTCTCTTGTTTCATTTTCTTCTGAAGTTCTTTTTTTCCACACTTTAAGTTTCATTTAAAAGCTCCCCTTTCCTATGCTCTAAGAAAAAAGAATAGCAGAAGAAACAGAAGACAGGGTTAGAAGGGTGAACAAAGATGAAGAATTTTGAAGCTCCTAACTCTAAAACTCAGCTTCTCTTTCTATAATGGCCAGAAACAGATGGACATTCTAGAAAGACTAAAAGGAAGAAGATGCTAGAAATGTTGAAGGGAGGAACCCATCTCAAGTTCTTCCTTCTTCCTCTAATCTCTTCTTTCCATAACTCATCTGCAGTGGTGTTTATGCTTTTAGTGGAATTGAACTCACTGAAAGTTCAGAGTAAGGCTGGGTGCTGTGGCTCACACTTGTAATCCCAGCACTTTGGGAGGCCAAGGTGAGTGAGGTCAGGAGTTCGAGACCAGCCTTGCCAACATAGTAAAACCCCATCTCTACTCAAAATTTCACCAGGCATGGTGGTGTACGCCTGCAATCCCAGCTGCTTGGGAGGCTGAGGCAGGAGAATCACTTGAACCCAGGAGGCAGAGGTTGTAGTGAGCTAAGATCACACCACTGCACTGCAGCCTCAGCAAAAGAGCAAGACCGTCTCAAAAAAAAAAAAAAAAAAAAGAAAAAGAAAAAAGAAAGTTCAAAGTAGGTAAAAGGGACAAACAGCATGAAGTAAAATTCTACTCACACACACAAAAATTTCCCCAGGGTGCCTGTAGATAAATTGCTCAAGTGTTGTTCTCCACCCCTCTCCCAGGCCAACACACAACACTAGGCCACCTCACACCTGAACTTCTGGTTGAGCCAGAAGAGAGCTAGAAGTTTGAGGGCAGGGCCAGGAGCCCAGCAGAGCCCCAGGCAATGGGCCCAGCCATCACCTCTGCAGGACTGGGACCACATTTGCCCCCAGACAACCCTGAGAAAGTTGGGTAGAAGGAGCGGCTGGGAACGTCAAAGGCAATTTGTGTTGGCACCAGGGAGGCCTCACCCACCTTCCACCAGGCTCCAACCCTGGCTATCTCAAAGGGTACAAGAGTGTTCTAACCCTGTCTTCCAACTTCCAGTTAAACCAGAGGCTGGACATTCAAGGGAGGGACCAGGAATGTGGCCAGCCAGGTACTGGAACATTACTGCCACAGTTTGCATCATGGCCCACAAGTGAGATCCAGACCACACAGGTGTACTTGCGGACAGGGACATTCTGAGATTCTGTTTAAAAATTAAGTCTTCCGTTCTAGACTTTAAACAATAGTGACTGCCATTTGTTGACCACTTACTATGTATGGGCTAAACTCACCACAAATAGGTCATTTAATTCTAACAACAACCCTATGCAGTAGATACAGTAATTACCTCCCCTTTACAAACTAGAAAACTAGAGCCTAGAAGGATAAAAGAACTCAATTCCAGCTAAGAAAGGACAGATCCAGAATTACATTCCAGATAAAGCTGACTATAAAACCCACATTTTTAACCATCATATGTAGAAAACCAACCTTCTACACTTTTGAAAGTACTCCTCCTGGATGGGCCTTCAAAGCACTTTGACCTTGTTTTGTTACAGGAACAGAATTCAGTAGCAAGATGGCAAATAGTTTTCCTCTATTTGTCAATGTGCCTGAGGCCAGAAGTAGATTCTAGAAATCAGATAAACAAGTGGCAGAGATAATCCACTTACAAAACAGAATTTGAGAGAGTTAGTGTGTGGGAGAGTCCTGGGCTCAGTCCAGCTCAGACCTGGTTTGTCTCAAGGCTTAAAGTACTTCCCTTGCCTTTTGGGGGCAACCAATACATGAAAATATATCAACCATGAACTTTAGTTACAGCTCTAAATAAACAGACAACATACTAACATAGCATGTGCTTAAGAGGTCCCTAAAGCATAAGCACTTTCTCCACCAAGTTCTTTGTTTTCAAGTCTCATTTTTCCAAAAGCTACTGACTTTGCCGAAAGAAAGGTATAAGAAAGTATTGGAAAAGTTCTGGGAACTTATTGAAAAAAACAATAGATGCAAAAACTAAAGAAAAGACAACACTGCCTTTATGCCCAATGGCCCCTAGTTATTAAAATAAGAACACCCTTACGATTTTACAGCAGTTGCAATGATCAATGTAATTGATAATTTAACATAATTATAAAATAAACATGCTGCAGAGTTTTTCCACTTCCACAGAGGCCTTAATAATCCTGACGATGATGACTTTGGGGGTATTAGGACTATTTATAAGAGATTTTAGTCAGCCCAATCAGAAATTATAACTTCCCTTCCCAGCCCCTGTGAACTCCCAAGAGTCTCCTGTTTGTACTTAAGGGAACTCCCACTTCTGGTGGGGAAAGAATGACAGTAGGATGCGATTGCTTAGCTTCCCCATTCTCTCAAAGTCTCCCAACCCAATTTTCAGGATTGCTCTTCCCTTACTGAACTATGCAACAATAGCAGGTGATCCCTCCCTCACTCCTTTCTATTCTACAGGCTCTTCCAAGGAAGACAGATGCTACTCTAGAACAATGGCCAGAAGAAAACAATGGAAGGAAGAAAAGTCAAAGATTACGCACCTACTCGAATCTCCATGAAAAACAAGACTTAGAAGCCTGCAATCATAAAAGCAGGCCTAAGAGGCGACTCAGCTCCCTATATAATAGGATTTAGAGAGAATCAAAGGATTCATATATATACTGATATATATTCCATTACTTTCATGTAGTCATTTTCAATCAGTATTTATTGAGAACATACTGTGTGGGAGTTACTAGAAGATGAAGATATAGTGGTCATGGGATTGTCAGATTTAGCAATTAAAAATCCCATGTTTTATCTAGCAATTCTAAATTGTCAGCAAGAAGCTATGCCTGCCACAACGAACTCACAATCTAGTGCCCTGTGCATTCCCTAAGAATTTTAAAATCTCGTTAATACCTTAGCAAAGCTGATTTATCTGATTAGCTTAAAAGTGCATAACCTGGAAGGATGATGCACAGAAGACATAAGTTTGGAGGGGAAGAAAGGAGTTAGAAAGGTCCAAGGCAACCATCAGCAGAATGTCACAGAAGGAGTAACAATGACTGACTGAGGACAACAAAATTGCCCCTGTCTATAGTTGGGTGGTAGGGATAGAGTAAAGGAATCAAAATGAGGCAACTATTGCTGAGAACTCAGCTTGTTTCACCTGCATTCCAAATAAGTGACAAGTTCACAAAAAAATGTTGTCAAGGTTGGTAAACATTTCAACTGGACCTGAGCAGAACATCTAGTGAGATCTCATGCCAACTTATGGTTTGGAGTGGAAACCATACAAAATGTGGTGGTTTTATAGGGTTTGAACCTGAAAGCAAGCAAAATGTGGTGGTTTGGGCCTGTGTTTTTCTTGGAGTTTTTTACACACTCAGGCATAAAAATTCACAGTCAAGCTTGGGAGGTCCAATCTGAAACAATAAAGTTTTCACACTATCCTTTCAGCAACCACAAGGAATAGGCTTCCAAGAGAAGTTGTATCTTGTTTTAATATCTTTTAACTATGGTTAATAGACGGACTAGTTAGGCCACGTTTATGCGACAAAAACTAATTTTGATGTTTAGAAAGAGGAAAAGAGGTTGTCTTTTCCTGGAACAACATTAACTATATAGGAAAAAGAAAGCAAGAGTTTTTTTATGCCTGCTCTTTGTGTTAATAATAAAACCAGTTAATGATTAGTTCCATTGGCAGAAATTTCTTGTGTAGCCTGCTGTGAGCTCCATAGCTTGAATCTAAAGTGAGTGTAGGCTGGGGAAAATATTTGTTTTGTCTTGTGTGTCAGTTATTAAAGCCACTTCAAATCCTTCATGGAAATATATGGGGCATAAATAAATGGGAATTGCCACAAAAGAAATGCAGAGGCAGAAAAAGACAGCCACATGGCAAACTTTACCATAGCCCATACTAGTAATTTACTGTTTCCTAATCTTAGGATTCCAAATCCCAAATTGTATTTGCCTAGTGCAAAATACAATTTGTCCCTCCACTCCTTACCTTTCTTTGAACTCCTTTGTCTAAGCAGGCAACTAAAATCTTCATGAAAACATGTGAGTGCAGGATTAGCACTGCCTTGGATGTCAAGCAGTACAAGTTCTACAATGGCTTCAGAATGCCTTGGCTGGGTGGAAGAAAACAGACTGCATGACCCTCCCCAAATTCTTTTTGCAGCTTTCCGTGAGGTTCATTCTCTGGATCTGCAACCAAATCAAAATATTTACTTTGTTCTTTAGTTGGAAAACCTGAATATCCCTTCATCATTAATAGAAATTCTGATGTTCTCACAATGGAATAAAATTTCTTTTTTTCTTTTATAATTTTGTAGTGCTTAATTTAATTTTGAAGAGGGGCTAGAAGAAACGTTATAAACATTAATTACAGTTTACATGAGCAGAACAGCAGGAATCATCATTATTATCACTTAACTCATATATTTATTAAGTTATTCCAGGAAAACCTAGTTAATTCACACCTTGTGCCTTTGAAACATTTGATAACTCCAAGTTGGGGAATTGGCTTTAACTTTTCCTTTGGTGAAGAGAGTTTACAGCTCTAATTAAATTAGCTTTGCAGGGGGTGATTAATCTTCTTAAGGAAATAGACTGCTTTCAAACACTCCAGTAACAACTGTCTCTAACGATTAATGAAATAAACACGAATTCTGTCCTACTCATTAAAGCAGATCCAGTTATGAGTGTTGGCCACAGAATATTAATCCCTGGCTTATGTAAGTATGTTCTATATAATATATTACAACATTTTATAATTCTGACATATCATAGTTTATACTGGTCTTCCCTCAAATTAGCCTAAGGCAGTGAGGTTTCCTTGTATTTCTGTCCAACAGTTGTATGTGCCCAAGATGCCAGTGAAATACATCTAAATAGTTTTTTGAAATGTTTATGATCCCTCTAATCCCTGTTAACTATAATATGTCATGACATAATTGGATTCATTGGAAGCCCACTTGGCTAGGGCATTGTGGTAGTTGAAACCTATTAGCACTCAAGTAGATAATCCAAATCACCCTCAATGAATATGAATAAGCCACATATTGAATAGTACAACTGAGTATCTAAGGATTGGACAGGTAACCCAACATTAGTTCTTCAATTAAAATAGGAACTCACCAAAAATAGTTTGTCCTGAAAATGTCAAGAATTCATTACAGAACCCAAAATCAAACCTCTTCATAAAATTACTTAAGGGAATAATAGGTTCCTTTTAGCACTCCGTTTTTTCTTTTTCTTTTTCTTTTGAGGTGGGGATCTTGCTTTGTTACCCAGGCGGGAGTGCACTGCAGTCTCAAACCTCTGGGCTCAAGTGATCCTTTCAAGTAGCTAGGACTACAGATGCACACTTCTATGCCTAATTCTTATTTATTTATTTATCTATTTGTAGAGACAGGAGTCTTGCTTTGTTGTCCAGGCTGGACTCAAAACTCCTGGCTTCAGGGATCTCTCCCCCCTTAACCTCCCAAAGTTTAGCACTCTTCTTTAGAAATACTAACTAGAGAAAACTAATGACAAAAGAATACATCCAATTGCTACTTATTTATAAATGTAAGAAAAACAAATTGAATATTCT